CCCCAAAACCCCAAAACCCCAAAACCCCTTGAGCTAATTTTTTGGTTGAATGGAGGTTTTGGGATGGGAAGAGGAGATGGGTTTTAAGGGATTTTGAGGGAGGGAAGAGAGTTTGGGAGGGGCTTGGAGGGATTTGGGGGTTGTGAGGAGGGGGTTATGATGGAGAGTTTAGGGTTTTGAGGGGGTTTCTTGTTTTGTTTTGGTATTTGGAAATTTTTTCTTGTGTCTATAAATTAAAAACAATAATTTGATTTAGATTCAAAATTTTTAAATGAAGAATGAAAAGTTTATCATTACTAAAAGAGTTTCCAAAAGCGTCCCATCTTGTCCTTACATAACTTTAAAACTGAAAGATCTTTAGAACCTGTAAATCTCTCCTTTCCATAAATATTAGATATCCCCTCACCATCCCAAATCCTCTCATTTCCTACAACTAAAATACTTCCATCCCCAAAATACCTCCCCTCCTTCCCATAACCACCACCCCAACCCCCCTCTCTCCCCACCCAACCCCCTCTCCCCACCCCTTCCCTCCAAACTCCTTACCACCCTACATCCTCCCACTCTCCCCAAATCCCTTCATCTCTTCCCCAAAACCTTCATCCCTAAAGCCACTCCATTTGTTCCCTGCCTTCCTATTTCTAGCAAGCAGGATCCATACTGAAAACTCTTCTTCCTCAGAGTATGGTGTAGGATTGTGAGCATTTGTGAAGACTGAGGGTATGAAGAGAAAGGGGTGATTGTGGGAAGAGCAGGTAGATTTACTTTGAAAGTTTGGGGTAAGTTCTTTTGGTTGAATTTTGTATAGGCTTTGTCTTTAGATGAATCTGGGTTAAAATATTTTTATGGGAATTTTTTTTAAATGATTCCCATAATAGAATTCATTTATCTGGAATCTTTGAAATCAAGTTGGAAAAAGTTAATAAGAAATGAAGAATTAACAGAAAGTGTTGTTTTTGGCATGAGAAAACGGAGTCAGCGTTTTAAAAGAAACTGAGAAAATTTTCAGGAGTTTAGTTAAGAAATTTTTGAACTTCTTGGCTATTATTATTAAGTATTAATTTGATGATACAAATTGAAGATGCCTATCAACCTGCTTTATAATAACTTTTGTGATCCACTAATAATGGAAATCTTCTTGGAACAGCTCTTAGAGTTTCTAAGTTATCGATAAATAACTAAATTTTTAAATCCTCTTCAGCTTTTAAAAAGATTTTTAAACTCAGTAAATGGTGAAAGTTCAAGTTGAACTAGCAACCTTACTAAGTTTATGACGATATCGAAAGTTGTCCAAATACTATAATTACATCCCTATCTCATATGTCGGCATGCTGATTGAGCTCTAGAGGTTCTTCTTGTTATATCCATATAAGTCTCTCAATATTGTTTTTGAAATCTCTTACTTAAAAATTCAGATCTTTTCACTTCAAGATTTTAGAACGAGGCTTATAGCTAAATCAATTAATCTCAATGTAAAATGTGGGTTTTTAATGTGATATTAGAAAAATTATAACTAACCCTAAGCATTCACGTCTTTTGAACCCTTAACATAAATTTTTTCAAGAAGATTTCAAAGAAATCATTACTTAATAGACTCTTGTATAATGCTAAATATTTTTATTTATTGTATCCTTTTGCTTAGAGATTAATAATATGAGCTCTAAGGAGTACCTAACAATCCAATAAACTCTTAAATTTTGCTTAAAAGCAATTTATGAATCTTACCTCTCTTAAATAATTTTTAGTATTATTAATGAAACTAAGTATTAATAACAATGAGCAGTAAAGTGGTGATAAGGAGATACTAGTCTTCTTAAGCATAATTTTGACACTGATTCTCTGAAACTAAAGATCTTTGCACTTCTTCCTCTAGTGACACTAAAAATGAATCTTTAATCTAATACATGCTCGTCCTTATCTCCTAATCTTTTGTCCTGGATAGACTCTGTACAATTAATTTTACTCAAAAGCTGTAAGCCAAGCCTCGGCTAGACCAGTTTCTTAGGGAAAGTACCAGATGCTGTTGTGTTGGAAACTTTGGAGCAGAAGGGGGAAGGAGAGGAGGTATCTAGAGAGATGGAAGATAGGATGAAGTCAGCCTGATAAGCTCAGAGTTTTAGAATGTTAAGAAGGTTATAAAGTGTAAAAACCTTTTCTGGCGAACTGGAGTATGTTATTTAAGGATGTAAATTTTATGTTTCATAATAATTAAAATGAATTTTCTTGCTTTTGATAATAACACAATTTGCACTCCGTCTCAGATGGGAAACAAGTTTGATATTATTCAAGAACTTAGTTCAGTGTACTGATTAGACCAATTTGACCAAAACACCTCAGATGATCAAGATTATTGATTTTGCTCTTGTAAAGACGGCTTAATTACTCCCTCTTCTCAAATTAATGAACTTGATTATTTCTCAAGAGAATTAAGTAAAAATTTTCTTCAAAAGAAACCTGAGAACATTTTCTTCCAAGAAGATAAGAAAGTAGATGTGAAAGGAAACATAGAAAGTGATAAGCCACCCCTAAGAAAGAAAAGACGTTCCAGAAACGAGCTTGACATAACACACAAACTCCTAAGCTTGAGATGGCGTATCCTTAACTGATATGTGACTGAGTTCACTTCCTCATCAAAGAAAGCTAAGAATGCTAGCAAAAAACAACTCAGGAGAAGATCCAAATATATCGGTGTTTCCAGAAACAACTCTAATTGGCAAGCTCTTATAAATATCGATCAAATTAAAAGATACATTGGTACATTCGTTGATGAACTCCAAGCTGCCAGAGCCTACGACCTCTACTCAGTTGCACTAAGAGGCCAAGAAGCTTTTCTCAACTTCGATTACAGTGCTGAAGACATGCTTGAAAGAATTGAGTATTTTCTTGAACATAAATGTGTAAAATTTGATGACTAAAATTCCTTGAGATACCATTATCATTACATACTTTTCAACTTATGCACATATTATCTCTCCTTCACCTTTTAAGTCTCTGCTTGCTCATAAAGCCTCTATGACCAAACTTGACTTATTCAAAACCCCTCCACAGCTAAAATCTCTGAGAGCCTTATCAAAAGTTTAGGTGACTCTCATAGAAAGAAATTCTAAAAATTCAGAATCCACAGTATAAATTTGGCATTTTGGGAGGATTAAGTATGGAACAAGGGAAATTTTGGGAAATGGGATTTTTCTTGGGAAATTAGATTTTTAGATAAATTTGTACATGCTGATGAGGTTTAGAGATACAAGCAGGGGAGTGGAGTTAGGAGAGTTGTTTTATGGGTGTTTGAGGATGAACGGGGATTGAGCTTTAGTTTCATGAAGGATTTTAATGTTTCAATATGGGAGATCTTATTGGGGTTTTGGGGTTTTGGGGTTTTGGGG